AGAGCATGCAGATTCTCCAGTCCACCACATTCAAATTAACACATTTCCAAAGAATTACAGCAACAAAGAATAACACACACACACACGCACACTAAAATAAAATGAAATGAAATGAAATTTAATTAAATTAAAATAAAATGGGAAAAACATGTGAAGGAGGAAGAAAAATGAAAAGGGCTTTTGTTTTAGAGTAATAAACAAATGAAGTGACGTGCTGAGTGACGGATGAGAGCAGATATAATAATCATATAGTTTGAAGCTGCAGACAGAAACATCAGACTCAGGACAGAAACACTCAACCTCTAAAGTAAGAACAACTCACATACTCATTATTTAAATTAGACTTTGAGATATTAATATTGTCTTAATGTTTGTGTACAGTACATTTATGTTCCTGTTATGATGGAAATCACTGAAATCATGTTTTACACTAAAATGAATTAGTGAATATTTAAAATCTGAGTTTATCTGTATTATTCTTCCTCAGAAATGGAGCAAACTCTATATTTCATTCTTCTTCTCATTGGTGAGTGTGTTTGTGGTTTTATTTATGGTTTCTAGTTCCATTAGGTCTGTTATGAAAAGCATTAAAGCAAAGCAAATCCTCTCTTTCACAGCTCTCTGCTCCGTATCTGAATGTGTTCAGCGTCAGTATCACTTTATAAATGAGAGAAAGACCTGGACTGAAGCTCAGAGACACTGCAGAGAGAATTACACAGATCTGGCCACCGTTGACAACATGAACGACATGAACGAGCTGAAGGAAATAACTTCTGTGACACGTTTAGTCATACTTGATATCTTAATTTATTTTTAATCCACAGAAAACATTTCTTACAAGTTTTAACAAATCTTTAGCTTGAAATCATTTGGGCATTAATGTGAATATTATTTATGCTTCATTATCAACACAATTAGACTATTATTACAGCTGGTAAAGACGATGGTGGTAGTAGTATTATTAACATTGTCATTATTATTGACATAATTATGGAAATACCAATGTACCCTTATGTATAGTTTTATTATTGCATGTTTTGTAACCACTATTATTATACTAACATGGAATATGACCTATTAATATAAAAATATAGATACTGTTTATACCCTATTATTATGGTTATTACAGTATGTGTGATTAATAATATTATATCTTGAAAACAAATATCTCTAAAACTAATCTACAAATCAGTTAGATTTACAATTGGACTTTCTGCTATAAAGAAGCTAATCGCATCCAGAATAAAAGTTTGTACTTTTGTTAAAATACTTTTTTTGTAATTAAAGGCCCTTTTGTGAAGGCCTGCCCAATCTAACTATTCATAAAAATAATGAATAATACTTTAGCCGTTTCTACAACAGCAACACTACTGTTTACAGGAGCAAAACCACCATAGACTGTTAACTCAATAATATCTCTCCAGAAATAAATGTAAAAAATGTCAGTGTCAATATAAAATGAATAATATACCTGGATTTTGAATAACGACCATGTCCTACACAGAGTTCACTATAACAGCTGTTCTTTCTTATTCTGTATAACAGAGAAGACAAAGCCTTAAGATTTGGACAACTTAAGACACTTAAGTTTCTAATCCCAGAGTTATTAATAGGTGCAGAGAAAATGTTCTTTAACTTTTAAACTTAAAATGGTCTTTTCTGTTCTGTGTTTATTTTTTTCAAAACTGTGTCACAGCATTTGCTTTTGTATCACAACATAATGAATGGCACCTAGATGTAAGACAATTTTATCTGTATTTATAGAGCATGTGTTTAAACAACTACAAACTGTAATGGCACAAATTACTCACTATTAAAGCTCTTCAATTATAGGCTCAATTATAAGCTCATCACATTGCCATTGTAGGGTTTATTTACAGTGTAAGAGTTTGAGAGATACTTAAGCATTGCTTTTGTTTATCCTGACAGAAAACACAGGACTCGTCTTTATCAATCAGATGAAGAACTGGAGAGATGCTCAGAGTTACTGCAGACAGAATCACATTGATCTGGTCAGTTTGAGAAACCAGAATGAGAATCAAGAGGTTAAGAAGATCATGAATAATAGGAAGAAATCTGATGCCTGGATCGGTCTGTTCAGAGACTCATGGCAGTGGTCAGATCAGAGTAACTCCTCATTCAGAAACTGGAAATCTGGTGAACCTAATAATGCTGGAGGTAATGAAAAATGTGCAGTGATTGAATCAAAAGCTCAGAAACAATGGCATGACATGTCTTGTAACAGCCGTTTTCCTTTCTTGTGTCATGAAGGTGAGTAGATCCTCACGAAACACACACAATCCATCCATCACCTCCAGATCTCTTAAAGTTCACACTACACGTCTGACATGACACATTCATCCACAGTGTTTGTTCTGCATGTTGTTTTTGATCAGTCTCTCTCTAGTTTCTGCTTGTGGTTTGTTTGGTTTCCAGATAAACTGATTGTGATCAGAGAGAATCTGACGTGGTCTGAAGCTCTGAGATACTGCAGACAGAATCATGTGGATCTGGTCTCGGTTCATTCAGAAGAGATGCAGCATGAGGTGATGAACGTGGTTAAACGGGCGTCTACTGCGGCGGTGTGGTTGGGTTTACGTCACTCCCACATTTTGGGCGTCTGGTTCTGGGTGAGTGGAGGGACGGTGTGCTATCAGAACTGGGCTCCAGGGAACGGCACATCAGAGGAGGACTGTGAACACACAGTGAGATCTGGAGCAGTTCAGTCTGGAGGAGATCAGCGCTGGATCAGCCGTCCTGAAACTGACAAACTCAACTTCATCTGCAGCAGATATTAAGAGTGAAAGGAAACACTTAGATTTCAAGATTACAAACACATGTGTTTCCTGTTGATGTACTATTCTGTGGGTGTGTTTGCTTATCGGTCAGGACTGCTTTTACAAACTCTTTCAACATGTACTTTGAGTCATTTAGTAACTGCAAAATTATGAGACATTCATCTGTCAATTTAATTTTGTGAGGGGTCACAAGGGCATCATATTTACTCATCATTAGAGAGTCATTTGTACTGTTTTCTTGGCAAACTTCAGTCTAGCTTGGAGGTGTCTCTTCTTCAGAAGTGGCATCGGCAACCTCACAGTCCATTCCTGTGCAGGGCTCTAGTGACCATCTCCGTTGAGACATCAATCCCAGACTTGGCTAAATCAATCACTAGTATCTTGGCAGTTGTTCTTGGGTCTTTAGAAACCTCTCTCTAGGGCTGCCCCCTAATAGTCGAGAAGAGGCTTGGTCGACCAAAATGTTATTAGTCGCTTAGTCACAGAAAAGAAAAAAAATCCACAGGAAGTGGTGAGGTCACGCAGTCTGTGACGGACAGATCGTTAACGGCTGGATTTTGTGGTAATACAGTACATCAAAACGCTCGTCTATCATTCAACGACCACAAATATGGCTTATCATCTGAAATATGTAAGTAGTAGCAACTTTACAAGGCCACTCAATCTAATGTTAACCTAGAAAAATGTGCGCTATTCAAGTGTCTGTGCGGAGTGTGAAAGCGGAAGAGTAGCGCGCTCACAGCATGATAGATGGAGGCGCCGGTGCGGTCACTTGCTCTTAAAATACTAATTTTGTCATTTTGCTCATATGGATAACAGTAATACATCTTTCAAATCTGTAAAGCCTGTACGTTTATTTGTGTGCACTCACTATAACAATAAAACATTGCGCTTTTTTAAAATAATGAAAGCAAACTGGATGCACTTTCTGCCGTTTCGGCCTCTGTGAACTTGAGCGCGAAACTCCGTGTATACTTGCCTTATACCCTACTTATAGAGAGTGAAATGGCTACTTTCAAATGAAACAATTCAAATCTGAAAAAAAAAATAAAAATAAAATTCTCATTATGTAATCCATATGAAACTTGCATGCAGGCGCATCCACTACTATGGAGATGATGATTCAGTGTCGCCGAATTCTTCTCTTAAGCCGAAATCACAGAAAACACTAGTTTATCAATAGATTATTAAAATGTTAATGCAGTTTAATCTTACTGTTTTTCCCTGACACATTCATCATCATTACTTCTGCCGGTGTGCTGTGGCAAGCTTTATGCATGCGCTTGAACGCTTATTAGGCTAAGTAGGCAATTAAAGGCTTATTAGCATGATTTAAATGGTTTATTAGTAAACGTGTGACTAATGCTTAAAATGAACTATTAGTCGACTAGAAAAATCTTTAGTCGAGGGATTTTTTTAGTGAGAGAGGGATCCTCTCTCACTAGTTTTCTTTCCAATGTTTTTGAAATCTTTCACTTCCTTCCTCTGCCAGTCATGTTCTCCACTGTATGGGTCTCTTGATAATACTTCTCACGGCAGTTCTTGACACTTGAAAACGCTTCGATAAACGTGTATATCCTTCTCCTCCTTTGTGACCATTAATAATTATTTTTCTCCAGTCTAAACTAATTTATTTTGTCTTTGCCATGTTGACAGTACAGTACATATTATTTTACTAGTTGTTTTGCAAGATAATAATCCTCAGCATAAAGTGCAATTTAAAGGCATAGAGGAATAATTAGGTTAATTAGGCAAGTTAGGTTTATTAGGCAAGTCATTGGACAACAGTGAGAACGCTTGCGCTGTTCTCTTTCCATCCAGTCAGATTCTGTTCACCTCAATACAGTTCCAACAACATGAAATGTCAGGAAGAATAGTAAATAAATAAATTAAAAAAACATAAAACTGACATATTAAAATTACACTCGTGGGTTGTGTGAATGTACATTTAACATTTCTTTGATTATTTTCATTATATTTATCACTATCTCTATTTGTTTACAATACACATTTACGCAAGATGCTTTATAATTCTTAAATATGTGAATAAGCACTAAAAGGAAGTAAGCAGAAGTGAATTAAATCTTTTCATTGTAAGAATAATTATAAAGAAATTTCAGCCAATGCATTTAGAATCAGAATTAATGTCTTTAACAAATGTAAAGTTTGTGAAATAAAGACAAAGTGTTGATGTCCAGTGTGTTATCTTCCATTGCCACAACGACCTGTAAATAAAATATTTGCCTATTACATCTCAAAACGAATTTAGAATCATTCCTAATTGTGCAGCTTATTTCATGTGTTATTGTACAGTTGTGAGAACAGACTCACTTTTACCAGCAGTCACCTTCTGGATCACCCGTTTAGGGGTCTGAGACCACTGTAGAGTCACGTTTGTGAATCCTCTGTCAACCAGAGCAGATCCCAACTGAAAATAACATATTCATACTAAACTGATTAGATATGACAGTATGCTCAAATCTTCATGTCTCAAAGAAACTTTTAGCATACCACTGTAAACCCTGATTAAAACAATTCAGCATAAAGCAGCTCTGAAGCAATATCAACTCATTAGTAAAAGTATTTGGTGAATTTTCTGAAAAAACCTTGATTTTAAATATAATCACTGAAATCTTCAGTAACAATTCAGGTTTCATGTAAATCTCCAAAATGCAATACAAAAACAATCACAGCAAGCCTTAAAATGTTCACAAAGACATTTAAAGGTTTCATTGAATTTCAATCAATTTCAGGACTATGAGGTCGGTTTTTAAAAAGAGGGAAACCAGATGAGAGCTGCTGGTGTTTTACAGTAATCATGGCAGTTGAATTTGTTTCTTTCTCTCACCTGTTTCAGAACGTTTTCTCTCACGGAAGGGTCAGTTAAATCAACTCTGGACTTAAACTGCATCTTTACAAAAGATCTTTTTAAAACTGGACCTAAACAAAGATACAGTGATGCATGTATTATGAATTAGTAGAGGTTGCTTTCAGTAAAAATGTAGAAGTGCTCCTCACTGTTTTGTTGACAAAACATATTGTTACACCTTCTCCATAGACCTCCAGCTCACAGAGAGTGAGTATCTTCATGTCTTCAGGAATGATCAGATTCACGTAACGTCCATCCATCCCACCGCACGAGTAGCTGTAGGACTCACCTGCTGGAATAGCAGGAATAACAGCACATCTACAGACAGAGAGAAAGGATATAAACATACTGTCATATCTGCAGTAGTCCTTCACATTTGTGCTCGATGTCTCACATTCTTTCAACCTCAAGGGTCTCACATGGGATTGTTGTTGCCGTTGCTCTCCAAAGAGTTTCCGATGCGAATCTCCGCTCCGTTCATTTGTTCGGTACAGCAGTCTTTTCTGTTAGTGACCACCACTCTGCTAACTCTGTAAATATGACGGAGATCCAGCCTCCACCACGGGTTAGTCTGATTAAGGGTTGATGCGCATGCTGTATTCTGCTGGAGACCTCGATTACTATCAATGGCCTTTTCAGCAAACCAGCCCGTAAATGTTGATGACTGTGTAGCTGCTCCATCCACTGCCAGATTTCCTAGTAAAAAAAAAATAATTATATATAAAGAAAGAAAGAAAAGAAAACCTCTTAATGCATGAACGTTGCAGTGGTTGGGAAGATTATTAGTGAACAATGACTTGAGGTGAAGTGAATAATTTCTACTACTGTCAACAAATGGAATTATACAAAAAATGACATTGTGTCTAATGACTCCCTCACAACTATATTCACAATAATTACTTGATTAGTACCTCAACAACCTGGTGGAACACTAACGACCTCTTTTACAACAACCCATCTCTCCTTCAGTAACATTCAATTGGAATGAAAACTTTGTTTCAGTCAGTGCTGGGAAATGATAACTTGTAACAAATGTAGCACAATTGATGTACTTTTGTGCTGGTCAGCATTATATGCTGACGTTTCCTGCAAGCCCCTCGAGCTGCCACTCACCACTGGCTTTTGTATTGCAGAAAACAAGCTCTGTGACCACCAAAAGTTTATGAGTCTGACACGTTTTGTTTGTTATGACAATCTTCATGAATAAACACACATTTTGAAGCCTGAAATACAATCAGCAGAAGTAAAAAACTAACCGTAGCTTTAAAAAAAAAAAAATACACCATGGTCACATGACTTCAACGTCAACCATCATTAAGCTTCAACAACTCTTTCAATCTTTATTTTAAGGGGTTTATTCACCTAAAAATGAAATGACAGCATCTTTATTTTGGGGTGCACTAACCGTTTAAACATGTTCCCTGAAAGGTTGAGTTAAAATAGTTGCAAGAGCTTGATTATAAACTGTGAAAGCGACTAGTAAGTAGATGAGTTTATCTCTTTATGTTTGGCTTGATAAACGCATCACTTGACGTCACAAAAGTCAAGGTTTTTAAACATCACATATACATGGTACAGCATAATCAGTACAATGAAAGGGATTAGTACTGATGTATTTTAATGTATGATGACTTGCTAATTTGGAAGGATATGAGCATGAATAAAGCATGACTGTTTAGAATGAACTATGTCTTTACTAGACATTTTTTTGAATTACCTGCCAAATACCCGTAGACTCCAGCTTCACTAAGACTAAGAATCTTCTGATCTCCAGGAATATGAACAATCATATAACGTCCCTCCATCCCACCGCATGAGAAAGTGGCCGTGGCACCGTCTGCAAGAGTGGAAATTACAGCACATCTACAGACAGAAACATCATCTGTTATAATTTTCTCTTCATCTACAGTCATATTAACCAAGACAGTCAAATAAATATCCTCACATTCTGTTGTTGTAAATGTCAAGGAAGTTTCCTATACGAATCACCGCCCCGTTAATCCTCAAGCCATTGCCCGGTCTATTAGTGATGGTGACCCTGTTCACTCTGTATACCTTCAGTAGATCCACTCTCCACCACGGGTTGGTCTCAGTGTTAGTGTGGGTCCAGCTGGTTAACAGTCCGTCAAGAGCCAATTCAGGTCCAGATTGTAAGTAATTTGATGACTGACTAGTTTTGCCCCATAGTGCTGCATTCTCTGGAAAATGTTTCAGGGATAAAGGCCAGTAAGAATCACCATCTTTTTATTCTCACTTTTTTTTTAATACTTTTTTCAAATTCATCTTTATTACTTATCTTCAGCACCACGCCTACCACAGGGGCAGAACTGAAGGGTTTCAAACAAATGCCACAGCTATTTACAATGATCCTACAGTGAGCACCGTTGGCAAATGGCAAAAGAATGATCCTACAGTGAGCACCGTTTATTTGGTCAGATATCCAACATTTGTTATTTCATATAATTATAATCTAGGCTTATATCGTGATTGGTTTGGTATGTTATATTATAGAGAAAGCATTATAATCTGATATACGGACTGTACATGATTTTAAAGTTGTGATGAAATGGAAGTAACGCCTCTTTTCTATTGTGATGTACATTTGAGTGAAACAGATTATTAAGAGCAATGAATGTAGGGACTTGGTACGATGCATCAGGCATCGACTGGATGTTCACATGTGGGCATGGCTCTCAAATGTGGAGGTGGAACTGAATGCGAGCTTGCAGGGGTTTAATTGGAGTTTAAGTGCACTAAATGATTGGAGAATCATATATACAGTACATCACCAGAGAGAAGTCTGTTGTTTCACCAGAAGAACAAGATATGACATTTTGATCAAACATTACAAAGTACAAAAAATAAAATAAAAAATAGCATTTGCAAAAAAGCATTTGTCCAGACAGAAAACTAAGGATGTGCATATACGTAAATAGATACACAACATGCTTAATGAGGTTATATATAAATAGATAATTCTGAACATCAAACCACGACAGAGCTTTATTGCAGGGCTAAATTTCCAAGTACGTTTATATATGCCAGTTCAAACAGACAAAACAGAACAAACGTGTTGTAGCATCTGGACCAATCAGACACACCATTTTTCATTTGATTTAACAAATCAATTATTCATTAGATTAACAAATAATCACAGACCCCTCACCCAATAAACATGCTGGGTGCCAGGATGTCTGCGAACGAACAGGCCTCTGATTCCATGGCAACCAATGCTGATATCACTGGTTTTATTGCCCAAAGGAATGTGGGTAGAGAAACTCACCCATTTTCCTCATAAGACAGACACATAATGCCAAGAGAAATGGACTGTTCTCTAATTAATTCATAGGAAAACCTTTCTTTGAATGAACACGCATATCCTTCAGGTCATTGTGTATGTTGTTACTGTCCTTGTATATTGTCTTTTATATTGTATACTGTTTATGCAGGCTTATGATAGAACCACTCGTTCATGTCATCTTAGCTATATGTAATCCTACCATGTTTAGTATCTATGAATTCATCTTCTTGAGCTACAACGCTCCTAAGGACACCCTACGTTTGCGCCAGGCTTCAGCCTTGACTTTCCATTCACGAAGATTATCTGACTCAAACTGGTTCTTTTCCATCAACCAACTTCAGCAAAGATCAACTTGAGCCTTCAGATTGCATCAAGCCTCTCTTTCAGACAGACAAGACATGCAAGTATCAAACTTAGTATTATTCATTGATACATTAGGTATCATTTGCACCTAGTTATGATTAATTATTCATATTTCCCCTTTGAGCTGATTCGCTACGGTGTCAATAAACTGAAGGATTCTTACCTTCTTGTCCATTCGCCATAACCTCAATCCATAAAATCCCTGTTGAAACAAATGATTGAATTGAGTTTCAGAGAACCAGGTTTTGTTGAATCACACTGAAATATGTTTTTGATTTAATTCACCTTGATATTGTTGCTTATAAATAAAACATCATCTAAATGATAATGACATCACTAAGCATTGATTTGTAATGACCATGTCAGAAGAAACTATAGACATACTTATAATCTGCAACGAGCAGAGTGTTTGAATTTAAAGTCTGATAACTAGGCAGAAATAGTTTGAAGGGGTCATATGATGCAATTTCATGTTTTCCTTTTTCTTTGGAGAGTTAAAAACTGTTCGTGCATACAGAAGATCTGTTAAGTCGCAAAGATTAAAGTCTCAAACCCAAAGAGATATTCTTTCTAAAAGTGAATGCTCAGCCACGCCTTCCTAAAATGCCTCGTTTAAACACGCCCCCACAAATCTATGTCACTGTGTGGGAAGATTTGCATAACACCGCCCAAATGTATACGCAAATAAAGAAGGCGTAACTTTGATTCTCACTGTAGTATTGTTGTGAAGGACCATGTCAGAAGAAACTATAGACATACTTATAATCTGCAACGAGCAGAGTGTTTGAATTTAAAGTCTGATAACTAGGCAGAAATAGTTTGAAGGGGTCATATGATGCAATTTCATGTTTTCCTTTTTCTTTGGAGAGTTAAAAACTGTTCGTGCATACAGAAGATCTGTAAAGTCGCAAAGATTAAAGTCTCAAACCCAAAGAGATATTCTTTCTAAAAGTGAATGCTCAGCCACGCCTTCCTAAAATGCCTCGTTTAAACACGCCCCCACAAATCTATGTCACTGTGTGGGAAGATTTGCATAACACCGCCCAAATGTATACGCAAATAAAGAAGGCATAACTTTTATTCTCACTGTAGTATTGTTGCGCCGCCGCCATGTCGTGGAGACGCTGCGTGTTTCATTGCTTAAGCCAAGTTACTTTGTTTGGCCTTCCAAAAGAGGACACAACTAGAAATCAGTGGTTAAGTTTTATTTACAAAAGTACAACCCAAATATTCGAGTGTGTGCAGCGCATTTTATGGAGGAAAGTTTCCTGAACCTGGTAAGGGGTGTAACATTGCCGCCACATGCTTGAGGTATTCGGCCAATCAAAACACACTAGATCACTGGCCAATCAGAGCACACTGCGCTTTTCAGAGCGATGAGCTTTGTAAAAATCAATGCGTTTCAGAAAGGCGGGGCATAGAGGAGCAACAATAAAGTACAGTATGTGGAAAATAATGTGTTTTTTTTTACCTTAAACCGTGTGAACACATTGTATTACACCAAATACACAAAATATTGTTATTTTTAGCAACGTCATATGACCCCTTTAAAATGGGATTTACTTCAGAAACCTGTTAACATTGCATACAAAATAACCCAGACACCTATGTTCACACCATTTAGCATTGCACACCAATTAAAAATATCTAGAAAAAACCTTCTATAAAAAGGCTTTCCATGTCCATGTAATCATATTGCTAAAATGCCCAGTCCTACAGATTTGCCTTACACAACATTAGGAAGATCAGGCCCTTTCTTTCGGAACATGCAACACAACTCCTTGTTCAAGCTCTTGGTCTGTCCAGGCTGGACTATTGCAATGATCTCTTGGCAGGTCTTCCAGCCACTTCTATCAAACCTCTACAATTAATCCAAAATGAGGTATTCGGCCAATCAAAACACACTAGATCACTGGCCAATCAGAGCACACTGCGCTTTTCAGAGCGATGAGCTTTGTAAAAATCAATGCGTTTCAGAAAGGCGGGGCATAGAGGAGCAACAATAAAGTACAGTATGTGGAAAATAATGTGTTTTTTTTTACCTTAAACCGTGTGAACACATTGTATTACACCAAATACACAAAATATTGTTATTTTTAGCAACGTCATATGACCCCTTTAAAATGGGATTTACTTCAGAAACCTGTTAACATTGCATACAAAATAACCCAGACACCTATGTTCACACCATTTAGCATTGCACACCAATTAAAAATATCTAGAAAAAACCTTCTATAAAAAGGCTTTCCATGTCCATGTAATCATATTGCTAAAATGCCCAGTCCTACAGATTTGCCTTACACAACATTAGGAAGATCAGGCCCTTTCTTTCGGAACATGCAACACAACTCCTTGTTCAAGCTCTTGTTCTGTCCAGGCTGGACTATTGCAACGCTCTCTTAGCAGGTCTTCCAGCCATTCATATCAAACCTCTGCAACTAATTCAGAATGTGGCTGCAAGATTAGTCTTTAAAGAGCCGAAAAGAACACGTCACACCTCTGTTCATCAATTTGCACTGGCTACCAATAGCTGCTCACATAAAATTCAAGGCACTGATGTTTGCCTATAAAACAACCACTGGCTCTGCACCCCTTTATCTAAATGCACTACTTCAGACTTATGTGCCTCCAGAAGCTTGCATTTCTACTAGTGAACAGCACATTATAGTGCCGTCCCCAAGAGACACAGAATCACTTTCACTGGCTTTTACCATCACTGTTCCCTGCTGGCGGAATGACCTGCCCAGCTCAATTTACGCGGCTTAGAAGAGTCCTTAGCCATCTTCAAGGAATGCCTAAAAACACCTCTTCCATGTACACTTGATCCTCTAACACTAGAACTATCTATTCTATTTCTATTATATCTACTTGTTTTATTTTTATTACAATAACAAAACAAAAAAATCTTGACCCTCTAACTGTCACGGTTGCCTTCTGTGGCGAAACGAAGAACGAGGAAACGTGGGATAAACTCAAAGTAAATGTCTTTAATCATCCAAGACGGGGTAAAACAAGGCAGGCAGGGACACACAGGAAACACAACATCTACATTCAATACCGGACCATAAACGTGACATCATAAATATTACACCGGGAAGAGGGGGTGGGCGCCCTGGAGGCTGGTGCAGGACGGGGACTTGGAAGGCCTCCATGGCGGATCAGGCATTTCAGGAGGCCATGGCAGAGCAGGGAGCTCAGGAGGCCATGGCGGAGCAGGGAGCTCGGAAGGCCATGGCGGAGCAGCCTCCGAGGCCGCAGCCCCAGCCCTCACCCCGGCCTCTAAGGCTGGAGCCCTACTAACCCCCCAAAAAAATACTTGGAGAGGATAATGGGCTCTAAGGCCCTCTCGGGACCAAAACCGAGCACTGGAGCCCTCCCTGAGCTTAACTGGGGATCAGGTGCCCTCCCTGGGCTTAACGGGGGATCAGGAGCCATCCCTGGGCTAAACTCGGGAACATGAGCCCTCACTGGGCTAAACTCGGGAACAGGATCCCACACTGGAGCGAGCTCTCGGGCTGGAGCCCACAGTCTCTTCCTCCGCAATCTCCTCTTTTGGGCCGGGGAGAGGGAGATGACCGGCGGGCTTGACAGAGGAGAGGCCGGCGAACTCGAGTGCTGAACGGGCTGGCGGGTTTGTGTGAGCCGCAGCCGGCAGGCTTGACATCGGGGCGGCCGGCGGGCTGGAGAGAGCCGCAGCCGGCGAGCTTGAGTGCTGAACGGCCGGCGGGCTTGACATCAGAGCGGCCGGCGAACTTGAGTGAGCAGTGGCCGGCGGGATTGTGTTAAATGTAAATGAATGTGTGTGGTGTCTCCTTGACACCCCATCATGTCGGGCATGACATGAGCGGGGGACTAATTTGTGCCATGGCCACGGAGGGATCAGAGGCATTCCCACTGCTATTATTTATGTGTTTATTATTATTATTATTATTATTACTCTCATTATTGTCATTTTGTTGTTTCTACTGTTGATAAATCTGTTATATATATCTTTTTTTTTAGAAATACATCAGATAAGGACATATTTCTGTGGAATCACTAAAAGAAAAAGACAAAGACTGTCAACACATTTACATAAACACACACACACACAAAAACATCTGTTTAACATACAATTTGATTAGTAAAGTAGATGTAAAAAACATACACTGAGAAAAACTATGCCAGAGTCAAGCAAATTCCTGACCTACGTGACCAAAAAAATGTGGTCAGAAATATTTTTGTAACATCTTGATACTTTTAGTCATAATGGATGCATTAAATTGATCAAAAGTAATTTATAATGTTATAAAACATATATTTCAAATAAATGCTGTTATTTTGAACTACTTTTTTCAACATTGCTAATAATCAGAAATGTTTCTTGAACAGCAAATCAGCATATTAGAATGATTTCTGAAGGATAATGCGACACTAAAGTTATAATGTTATAAAACATATATTTCAAATAAATGCTGTTATTTTGAACTACTTTTTTCAACATTGCTAATAATCAGAAATGTTTCTTGAACAGCAAATCAGCATATTAGAATGATTTCTGAAGGATAATGTGACACTGAAGAATGTGACACTGAAGACTGAAGTAATGATGCTGAAAATTCAGCTTTGATCACAGAAATAGATTACATTTCACAAAATATTTACATAGAAAACTGCTATTTTTAAATTGTAATAATATTTCACTGTTTTTCACTGTATTTTAAATGTAGCCTTGTTGAACATAAACTTATCTTTCAAAAATATAAAAAATCTTATTAACCCAAAGTACATAATGCAAATCATTATTTAAAAAAACAAAAAAAAACAAACAAACAAAAAAAACCCTGTTAATATTAGTGTGAATCTAGTAAAATAACAGATACATGTATATTGTACTTTACCCAGTAAGATCCACAGGCACTTGAAGCACTTCATCATGTCGTTTTTTTAGAATGATGAGTTTGAGTTTTTTACAGTTTATGGAGGACAACTCATTTAAATCCGCATCACGTGACACATTATCTCTCCTCAATTCCTTCTATATCACACTCACCCGTCTCTCTCTTCACTTCACCTGCTATGTTCAAAAGCAGGTGTTCAAAAGTATAATGTTGATATTTGCTTGTAATAAGCACGCGACAATATTGTTTGCCTTTTTTTTTTTTTTGTATATTTGCATATACAAAGCAGTGGATATTTCAGTAACTCAGTTTTACATGCAATCTAGGTATTCTTTAAGGAACTAATTTGTACCATTTAGGGAAAAATAAGTTGTACCTCTTAGCTTTTGTGCCTCATATGGTAGAGATAGATAGATAGATAGATAGATAGATAGATAGATAGATAGATAGATAGATAGATAGATAGATAGATGATTCCTTTGAGATTTCCCTATGGAGTTTTATCATGTTTTTTTTTTTTGGTTATGTGTCAGAAGCAGGACTTTTATTTTGACACCAGAGCACACAGCAGTCCCAGTAAAATGGGGCTTTTAAATTTATGAGTAAAATGAAGCCAGTGGTGAACAGAACTTGACAATACTTTGACGTTTTGTTCTACAACATAAACTGCACACTCACACCCCAAACTGTCTTATCTAGTTATTTATTAGTAAAATGCATTTTTAAAAACAAACACAACTGCTTCAAAATTTGCGTTTTTGGTATCCACCTTATTTTTCCCATGAGAGCGGGCAAGGCCATTTGTAAATTTTGTGTCTGCCTTCTAGTCTCATCGGCTTCCAGCTATTTTTAGCTGTACAAAACAACTCGTTTTGCTGCTTGATGTTGCAAACTGTATATTATTTGAATGTATTATTTTAATTATTAACACACTGGTTTGTAGCGCAAACAGTTTTACCGTTTACTGCACTTTGTTATTCTTCTCATTATTTTTCCCTAAAGCGGCTGATGAACCGGAAGTATCGCACATTCACAGAAAACAGCTTACTTCCTCATTGAAAAATAAGGTGGATTGGTGTGTGCAGTTTACACTGTAGAAAAAAAAAAACATCAAAGTATCGTCAAGTTATGTGTGACAGTCATATCTAATATGTAATTAGACAGAACTGTTAAATAAAGAAAGTAAACGAAGCTATTATAGCATTTGCTTTTATATTATTAGTAATAAAACACTGTAATACTTTCTAATTTAACGTTAATATTCAGCAAATATGCATTTATGTAATTTAAACAAATCTTTGGATAGTAATATCAGCCACCCTATTCTCTAAGATATCGACATTGGCCATCAAAAAATCAATATTGGTGAACCACTAAATTTTTGGGTATAAAGTGTATTTAAGTGTAAGTGTACATTTTGATTATCTATACTGATAGTTTACAAGAACATTCAACACTGCATCCCCTAGGGGACACAATGGGGAATGCAGCCTGCATGACCGGTGTCTGAAGCATGTGTGAAACAACACCAATCTACTGGCCCACCTGGCCCATCACGTCATAGGCAGGGTGCCCGGAAGTATAAAAGGGCAACTGCTGAATACGTCATCCTCTTTGCTGTCTTCAGGAGCCATCTGTTTGAAGTGCGTGAGAGAGACCAAGGCAGGTGAGCGGTGTGGAAAGTGTGTGCCTCCGCTCCAGAGGTTTCTGGCACTTGAGGACACGCACGATCTTTCTGTCATGTGTCTTGGTCAGGAGCTTGCATGTTCAGTGCTCGAGGGCTCTGAACGCGCTCATTGTGAGTGGTATCCAATGAGAAGCTCCATTCACGTTTGTCCCTCTTTTCGAGAGATGAGTAACAAGCGTTCGGGTCTCGCTGTTGCCAAGGCACGGCGAAAACTCGGATCGTGAGATTTGCAGGGTTGGGATGCTCTTTTTGGGTTACTGGATCCCACGGATAGCGCTCGAGTCGAGCAGCGCTTTAGGGAATATGTGCCTTCATGTTTGGATTCTAACACTCGAGGGCATGTTCTGCTTTCGTGTTTGTCTCGGCGAAGAGCACGCACGAGTTGCGCGCTCATCGTGATGAGTCACGGTGTCTAGGCTCCGCTCGCGTTTGTTCATATACCCGAGGGATGTGGGACAAAGCGTTTGTGTCTCGTGGACCGGTTACACCATTGCCACGGCACAGTTTCTCACCTCGCGGTCATCACTTTGATCTGCGGGATCCACATACCCTCTCTAAAAAGGGTTGTCTGATATCACAGATACTATCAGGTTGTCGTGTCGATGAAGTGTGAGCACGGAGTCGTTTCAGCCCTGATCCTGCGAGATTGTGGGCGGAGCTATATTCAGCTCGGCCATGCCTCTCTAATATGCTTGTAATTGTGTTTGGAGAGCCTAGCTGGGCGTGAATATATTTAAATATTCTGTGGAGAGAGGCTTGCAAGTTTTCTCTCCCAGGGTTTTCAGCACCTACAGTGGTTATGGGGAATGTATTTTTGCTCTAGAATATGGCAGTCTGAGGGCAGCTATGTTCTAGCCTCGCTTCTTAACTAGGTTGGGTTCCCCTTGGCACAAGTTCTCGAGTAAGTGCTGAAGTCTTTGTTTAGGAATCTGCTATTTGAGGATAGCTGTGTTCCAGCGCAGAGACCGCTCCCCTTTTAGGGTTTTTAAATTGTGGTCTCTGTGAGCCCCTTGCCTGGACTGTGCCCACACCTGACACTTTCATCTGGCCCACATACCGCGTGGAATGATGGCAATTGGGTGGTCCGCTCCGGTTTGCCAGATTTGGGCCACAAGCAAGCCAAAAGAAGGCCCAATATCAGCCATGAATAAACCAAATAAAGCAGAATCGGCCCAAATCTGGGCCACATCGATTTTAATTCTGGCCCAGATCCAACACTTTACTCCGGCCCACATAATGTGAAGAATGATGGCACTTGGGCGGTCCGCTCCTGTTTGCCAAATTTGGGCCACAAGCAAGCCATTGGGAGGCTGCATGTCAGCCATGACAATAAATAAATAAAATAAAGTAGAACTGGCCCAAATCTGGGCCACATTTATTTTAACTCTGGCCCAGATCCGGCCCAGATCCGACACCTTGCTCCGGCCCAAATACTGCGTGGAATAATGGCATTATCAAGTCTTAAGCCTTAGCATTGCTGCATGTAAGCCAACCAAAAAACCAAAACTGGCCCTAATGTGGGCCACAGTTGATTTATATTCTAACCCTGGTCTTCCCCACATTCCTCATGTGGCCCACATGCTGCATGGAATGGTGGCATTTTGGCAGTGGTCCACAAGCTGGCCACTACACAGCCACATTTTAGCTAATAATGAACTAAATAAACCATAAATATACATCTGGGCCACACTAAGCCTTAAGTGAGTTATGCATCAACAATACTCAACATTGTAAAGAGAAATTTTAAAATGTCCTCCATAAATGTTCAAATAAGTTCCAGAAATGTGCCCTACTTGATAAAATCAACCTGACCCAAGTTTTGCACAAGCTGCAATTAAAATGTCACAGATAAATATTCAAAGACACATTCCAATACTTTAAAAACTGTTCTTCACAAGTTTGAACTTAAATGCTTCTCACTCAGACTCTACCTACACAGTAAGTCTGTGAGTGTCATAGCTACTCTGTGTTAAAGAGCGCACAACGAAGATGAAAGGTTATATGTGACCCTGGACCACAAAACCAGTCATAAAGGTCAATTTTTACAAGCTGAATAAATAAGCTTTCCATTTGTGTATGGTTTGTTATGATAGGACAATATTTGGCCAAGATACAACTATTTGAAAATCTGGAATCTGAGGGTGCAATATTGAGAAAATAGCTGCTAGA